ATATAAATAAATATGAATATATGAAAGAATGAAATAAATATAATCATTCTAACATGATTATCTAATTATTTTATTCTTTCTTCATTTTATAACAATCATATTTGTATTAATATTGATATATTTGTTAAATAACAGAACAAGAACACGTGATATAAAGAAAATAAATAAGAATAAATAAATAATATAATATTAACAAATAATTAATACAATTCATTAATATGATTACATTTATTAAAATAACATATTCAATAAAATAACACAACAATTCATTATTAAAAACATCATTATTTATTATTTTATTCATTTAATTCTGTTAACATAGAATATTAATATTCTATTAAATAAATCAACAACAACAATTAAAGGATGTAAAGGAGAAATAGATAAAGAATATGGATGTAGAGAATGTTTAACAGGATATTATTTAATAAATAAAGAATGTTCAAAATGTGGAAATAAATGTATAACATGTTTAAATGAGAAAGAATGTAATAAATGTGAAGATGAATATATAATAATAAATAAAGAATGTATTCATTATTCAAATATTAATAAATGTAAAGAAACAAAAAATAATAAATGTTCAAAATGTTCATTTTGGTATGGAATCAATGAAGAAGGAACAAAATGTAATAAAGAAATTGTATGGTGGATGATAATGATAATTATCATCATTATACTTATTATCATCATTACAATAATTATAATTATAATAATAATGATTAATTACATTATAAAACGCAAAGAAAAGAAAGAACAAGAGAAAACAACAACAATATTTAAAATTTCACAATCAAATATCAAATTCATATCACTTGGAGATGGAATAATAACAAATAAAAAAGAAATAGAAATAGGAGAAGGAGAAGAAATTGAAGTAAATAAAGAAATCAGAGAATTAATATGTATTGGAAATGAGAAGAAAGAAAAAAAGAAAATACAAATAAGTAGTAAAGAAGAAAATGAAAAATATTCAATTAGAACAAAACCAAATATCATTACAATTGAAGGAGGATATGCATGTGAATTTGAAATATTCATTACAACCAAATGTACTACTAAAATTAAAGAACAAATAATGATAATTAGTAAAACACTTAATAAAACACAAGAAGAAATAATTAAAAGTATTTCAATTAAAGGAGAAACACAAATATCAACACGACTTGATCCCGATGAAATAAAAGAAGAAAATAAAATAGGAGAAGGATCATTTGGAATAGTATATATAGGAGAATTTAGAGGGAATCAAGTAGCAATTAAAAAAATGAAAGAAATTGATAAAAGTGAAAATAAAATGAAAGAATTTGAGAAAGAAGTAATGATGTTAGATAAATTTAGAAGTGAATATATTATTCATTTTTATGGAGCAGTATTT